GCAACTCCTACACGACAGTGGCAGGAGCACTTGGATGGCTGTTACATCCCTCTTGACATCATTAATCACACTAGACGGTCTTTGAGTGTATGTGACAGGAAGAGAGAAAATGGGGGGGGGGGGGGTGAAGGTGATAACCATTATTTTTGCTTTAACATAGGAGCAGAAAGAGAAAATACACACAACACATCTGCATGATTTCTTCTTTTTTGACATGGAAAAGACAGCCAAACACACACGTACACACTCGCACACAAAATCAGAACTTTTTTCTTTTCTTTTCTTTTTTTTTTTACCAAAACATGAAGCTGGATTCTGGATTCTGGAACCGAAGATACATTTCTGGAGAGATAATACATTCATTCCAAGCGATGGCAATGAAGATTACAATATCTTGATAGAATAGACAAACAGATGAATTACTTCATGGCTAAAACCTGAGTTATTCCAAAGTATTTCCATATGAAACTGCACAACAATGCACATCAAAAATAAATGATGCATTATTATTCTCATGTATTATTTGCATGACTAAAGCTATGCTAATATATTCATATGATATATATATACACATCGACGTATGGATTATTTATGTACGTATGTATATATGTATGTCTCTGGGGTCTGAGATCATCTGAGCGGTCCAGTCAAAACACAGAACCACATTATGGCAGAATGAGTTTCAGCAGTTTTCCTGAAGCACATCAGCCTCAAAGTGTGTCTTTGCAACAGAGGTGTGAATAAAATGATATTTGTTTTTTTTTTTTACACATTTGAATTTTTTATTCTCCTTTTTTGCTTTCCAACCCAAGAGGCAATGGGAGTTGGTGACTAAGACGTGGACAGTCCAGTTGTCTCTGCTTTTTCCTCATTTTTTCTTTTGTGTATTTTTTCGGCCCTTTTTGTTACGGTCTTTGGTCCTTACTCTGAAAATGAGGAGGAGCAGAGGCACAGCATCATTTTAGTTTGTCTTCATCTCGTCCTTCCTTGTCATCCTTCATCCTCCCCTCCCAGTCCTCTCCAGGATGAACGCAGGCATGACTGTTTGTATTGAGTTGGCGGGTCGAGCACTATAGTTGAGCAATGTTCAGTTATTGGATCAGTTTTATTTTCATTGTAGGGCTCCGCTGGACCCATTATCCGTGTTTTTTCGTCACAAAAATTCCTCATATTCCAAGAGTTTGGAGTGCTGCCGTGTCTTCCAAAGCCGGTAGAGGCGGAAGTCGAAGTACATCTCAATCATCTCTTTGCCTTGATTGGTAAATGAGACAGGAAAAGTTTAATTCAAGTATTAAGGAAGGAAATTGATACCAAGACCATGATTTTTCTATTACCCTTAACCAAGAACTGTGGGTGGCTTAAAATAACCATAAAAACATTAAACCAGCAACTTTTTGCAACTTTCCAGGTATGTTTAAGAGCATTTCTTCATTATGTTGATAAGAAACATTACTCAGATGACATTAAGGTCGCCTCAAAGTATGATAGCAATGGTTAATTTGTATGAGACAAAAGTTTAGCGTGGTTTGATTTGATCAGGGCCGGAGAGGTTTGGATCTCTAATGGGCAAAAAGATAACAGGAGGAGAAAAGTTGTAATAAAAGTGACGGACTAAAGAAGAGGAAGTCTGGGGTTAAAAGAGTTTCCAGTTGTTCCTGGAACTGAGGGCAGGCTTTTTGTAATACTGACTATTGTGTTGAGTAGAATACTGTGCGTCTCTTCTCCCACCTGCAGCTAGAGAGAGGAGGGCAAAGTCAAATGATTACTCTCTCCTGTGTGGTGGGTGTTGTTTACAAACTGGAGTGTGAAGCCGTTATGACCTGCATCAACTGCATAAAAAACAATTCACACCAAAAAATGAAATGCTGTTTTGAAACACCACCCAGATATAAGGTGGATGAGATTGGAACGAGAAGGAAACGGCATGTGACACAAATGACCAAAAATGTATTATTTTTTTTAAATTGGGGAACAGCTTTTTGAGTAAATTCCAGATGTTAAGACGACCCATGACGGTTTTTCCGGGTCCTTTTAATGCGTCACGTGTAAATGCACGTGTGAATCACTACGCACGCCCGTTGTCCGTGTGATCTGCCTGTTTGGGTGTGTTTGTTCAGACTCACCCTGTGCAGACAGCTCCAGCGGCGACTCAAACTCGACAGAATAAGGCCTCATCAGATTCTTCAGTTTCTGGAACAGCTGTTGGACCGAGATAAGAAAGCAAACGCCAATTAATCCTACTGCACTTGGATACACGAGCAGCGGGGGAGCCTGCATCTTCAGACACAGCACACACACACACACACACAAACAAACAAAGAAACACACACAAGAATGGCAATGACTCCAGCTCATTACTGCCAAAGAGACATATGGACATTTGTCCTAAGCAGGTAACAAAGGAGGACAGTAAATGAGGTGAGAGTATAAATTGCGAAGGTGTTTTCCTGCATGTCTTCATATAACCTGCCTTTCCGTGAAACAGCCGAGCTTGTAAGAGGTTAAGAGCAGGACCCCAGTCCCTCTCATTTTACTAGAGAAGAGTCCCATGTTCAGGAAATTAAAAGAGAGGAGATTAAAATCAAACATCAAACTTATCTGTAAATTAGAGGGATTTGAGATGCTAGCTGATAGCTTGCCTTTGTAGTCCTACAAGTGGTTTTCTCAAACCACAATATGAAATTTAGCGCTGATTAGTCGCTTAGAAAATGAATGGATGACACACACACGGGTCGTCCGTGAACCAAGAATGAAAAGCATTTGCAGGTTCCAGCTTCTTGCTGATGTTTCTCTCGGTATTATGTCATTGTAGATGTTACACTTTGGGGTTTTGAACTGTTGGATGGACAAAAAAAAATCCCTTTTGAAGTAAGGCTAGACAGATGTGTTTATTTTCAGGGCCGATTAGTGAGAGGGAGCATGGACTGAAGTGTCGACGTGATACAAAACCTTTCTTTGAGCATGACGCAGATTGTCCCTGTACTATTCACTGGTTTATCAGTGACGGGTATGAACTACACTGCAGACTCGATTCTCTACACTTATGGTGACAAACAGAGAGATGGCTGACTCATATGAACGGGTCCAACGCGGTTTGAATGCGCATCGGGTATGAAATGTCTGTACCGTCACTGTGGCTGCATTTTTATGACCTATGATAATCTCCCAATTCTCGTCCAGCCGTCGTCTCACTCCCTCTTCCTGTCTTTGCAGATGTCATATTGTTTTGGGTTATTTTTTTCTTGCTGTGATGACAAAATCTAACCCACAAAAACACTGGTTGTTTTTGCAACTTCAGCCCGACCTGCTGCTTCCTTACGTTGGAAACAGCCCTGCTCGCTCAGCGGAGCAGCTTTGACCGTCTGTAGCACAGTAGCCTTCAGTGATGTTGAGACTATTACTCGTGACATGTAAACAATCAGAGGGGCGTCGAGGGAGGCTACAGAGTGGCGACAACAGACCAAGAGGGAGGCGGCTGCATCAGAGCCAAAGTAGCACATATTTCAATTTATTTTATCAGCAAACATATTTAAAAAAACTCTGATAATCGGGCAGGCATCACTTTGGACTCTGGGAACATGTGATTACCACTTTTTATGTTGGACTCAGCCATCATCCAATCACCTGAAAGAAAAAACAATGTAGTAATCAATAGTGAAAATAATAATTCATTGCAGCCCTGAAGACCGTTTTAATTGGAGCTGTAAAGCGAGTCCTCTCCTCTGCAGTTCCTCACTGACGTGGTGCTGTGCACATTAAAAATTGAAGCTCACTGATTTCTCTAGAATTTAGTCATGAGGGAACCCGATACCCCTCTGTCAGAGAAATCAAAGGCCAAATGCGCTTTTGTTTTCCACTTTATGATGTTAAAATGGAGGTGGTGAAGAAAAAGAAGCTTTCATTGCTTGTGTTTGCCGTCCTTTGAAAAAGATGTAAGAAGATGGTTATGTGCCAGATGTGGAGGAGAGAGCGGTTGGGGAGACGCAGGCAGCGTGGCTTGTCTGTAGTGCAAAGAGAGCCGGAGGCAAATAACAGATCTCAAATAATGTGTTGCAAGTTGGGTAGTTTCCTTTCTGTTCTGCGTGGCTCCACATTTCACATTGCAGTGTTTATAACTGTGTTTTTCCAGTAATCAAAGCAGCAACACCCCCCCCCCCCTCTATATCAGACAATTTTCATTTGTCCTTGTCACCTATCTTTTCAATCACATTCACTTACGTGTATATGGAGCTCCTCCAAAATTCAAAACTGAATGAAATGCAGCAAATGTTTAATGGATTTATTGATACCGATTGATATCGATAAAACAACCTCAGAACAAGACAGTATTAGAGAGAGAATTATCCTTAAAAAACAGCTTTTATTGTGCTTAACAAGCCCCTTTAATATTTGTTGATGGCTTAATTAACCATGAGTTCACCATTATGTTTTTAATTTCATAGGGGGCGGGGGGAGTTTAATTTACCTCTCTGTTAAAACCACCCCATCATAGCGGCAAACTGCATATCAATATTTATGAGCTTAGATATACATTTTATTACATATCAAGATTGAAGTTCCTCCCAGCACACGTGTGTGTGTGTGTGTGTGTGTGTGTGTGTGTGTGTGTGTGTGTG